TCAGTGGTGAAAGAGGAGGTCTTTAAAAATAGTCTGGGGAAACCTCTTTCAGTAGCTGGCACAGCCCCGGGGTTACCCTTAGCAACCTGTGAGGAATTCCAGACTGAATGGGATTGAGAGAGCAGTTCTGCTCTGTAGTCTCTACCGACAACCTCAGTGGGGGCTGGGTAGAGACATAAATACGAACACTAAAACCCTCTGACAGAGAACATAGGGCAAAAGGTCGACCCACATACACTTAGGAGAGAAGAGTGACCCCCTTTATACAATGCATTTGTCATACAGCTGTCCACAAATGCACAGAGATTGTGCAGGTGCACACACACACACATACTTCATGCCCCAAACACAAGACTCACTTCCAAAAAGAAACAATTGCCCGAACATATTCAAGGTTTGAGCCTTGAACTTACTCTCACTCAACCATGGAAACCCTTGGGCAAGTCACACTCTCCCAGCCATAGAGGAAAGCAAAGACAAACCCCCTTCTGAACAAATTTTGCCAAGAAAACCTCACGATAGGTTTGCCTTAGAGTTATCGTAAGTCAGAAATTATCTGGAGACACACAACAACAACATAATATTTGCAAGTTAATAGAATGAAAATAGCTAAGAACCTTGGGCCCTATTACATGATACAGTTGTAGGGCTATTATTCCATTAACTGTCATGGCAACATTCTGTAGGATTCTGGGGTTTGTAGTTTAGTGAGTCCCAAGTGACCCCCTCTAAGCTGCAAATCCAACCATTCCATACCATGTTGACATAGCAGCTAAAGTAGAATAATATTACTGTAACAGTGTAGTCTGATAGGTCCCCTGGTGGCATTTCATGAACAACAGTCCACCTCTCCAGATGCAATGCCCTGCTAAGTGAATCATCTTTTCTCTTGACTACCTTCCCTACACTAAGTCTTTTTGTGCAGAAATAATAATCTACACCAGCGGGAGGGTATTGTGTGGTGCAAGGAGACATCAGTCAACATCAAAGACATATCAGTTATATACATACAGTATACACATATTTTCAGTAAATAGAAACCCACGGGGCAACCTTGGCAAGTCACACCCCTTCAGGGACAGAGGAAGTCAAAGGCAAATCCTCTCTGAACAAATCTTATCAAGAAACCCCTCTCACAGGTTCACCTTACATTTGAAATTACTTGAAAACACACAGAAAGACACTATAGTCTAAAATTGCTTAGAGTCTCCTTTAAGAGAGGAAAACAGGATATAAACCAATATAATGCTAACAGTACTAATAATACAAAATAAAAGCAATGGTTAGTCCTAACTGGAGCAGACCCACTGAACCACTGGTAACATGCTACAACCAACACTGTTGGTTCAACGGGTCTACTCAGGTTCAAATGAACAGCAGAATTCAAGCCACAGGCATCTTCACCATGAGTGGGCAAACTTCGGCCCTCTCGGTGTTTTGAACTTCAACTCCCACAGTTCCCAAAAGCTGTAACTCTTTCAGCAGTAAATTCCCTTCCTGGGGGGTAGATTTCTACCACTTCCTGTTGTCTCACCCCTGTTCTTAACTAGGAGCCATTTGTAAGTTGGATATTTGTAATGTGAGTCCTACCTGTATATTAATTGGTATTTGTGTTTTAAATGTGTTTTGTGTCTATTCGTGATTGTATTCTAATTTAGGGACCTGAGTCCAAGCTGCCATATATTCCAGTTCAAAGCAGAAAATGTGGGATTTTATTCAGCTGTGTAGAAGACGCTCCAGGGAGAAGATATCAAGGCAGAAAATCCCGCAATATATGTTTTGAACTGGGAATCTGAGTCCACACTGCCATATATCCCAGTTCAAAGCAGATAATGTGGGATATATATTCAACTGTGTGGAAGGCGCCCCAGGGCCCTTCCAGACAGGCCCTATATTCTAGGATCTGATCTCAGGTGTTCTGTTTATCTCAGATTATCTGGCAGTAAAGGTTTCCCTTTGACATTAAGTCTAATTGATTCAGACTCTGCGGGGTGGTGCTCATCTCCATTTCTAAGCCGAAAAGCCAATGTTGTCCGTAGACACTTCCTGGGTCATGTGGCCAGCATGACTGCATGGAACGCTGTTACCTTCCTGCAGATGTGGTACCTATTGATCTACTCACATTTGCATGTTTTCGAACGGCTAGGTTGGCAGAAGCTGGACCTAACAATGGAAGCTCACCCCGCTCCCTGGATTCAAACTGGCAACCTTTCGGTCAGCAAGTTTAGCAGCTCAGTGATTTAACCCACTGTGCGACAGGGGAGCGGGAGCTTATCTGGCAGTGTGGACTCATATAATCCAGTTTAAAGATGAAAACCTGGGATCAGATTCTGGGATATAGGGCCCCAGGCAGAAAATATCAAGGTAGGAAATCCCACAATATCTGCTTTGAACTCAGGGCCCTTCTGAACAACCCTATATCCCAGAATATCAAGGCTGAAAATCTCACATTATCTGAGTGTCGTCTCAAAACAGATACTGTGAGATTTTCTGCCTTGATATTCTGGGGGGCTTTCTACACATCCCCTATATCTCAGAATATCAAGGCAGGAAAAGCTACATTATCCACTTTGAACTGGGTTATCTGAGTCCACACTCAGATAATGTGGGATTTGTAGAAGGGCCCTATATCCCAGAATATCAAAGCAGATAATCCCACATTATCTGCTTTGAACTGGGTTATCTGAATCCACACTCAGATAATGTGGGATTTTCTGCCTTGATATTCTGGGATATAGGGCTGTGTGGAAGGACCCCCAGACTATCAAGGCAGATATAGGGCTGTGTGAAATGGCCCTTAGATAACTCAGTTAAAAGCAGATAATGTAGCTTTTTCTGCCTTGATATTCTGGTAGATATATCAGCCAATAGTGAAAGGACCAAGGCAGTGACATCTCCAGCCCATCCCCTGTTTGGGTATCAGCCAGCATGTCAAAGACTTAAATCAAGAAATAGTTTTCTAAGATCTACAGAGACACTCGCTGGAACACGTCAGCAAGCGAGAGTCCAAAAGTGGCAGGCTCAAACCCAGAACCTCAATCAATGGCTGATACCAAATGTGAGACTCCTCCTGGGCACACAGAAAACTGGGCGACTTGGAAGGCGCTGAACAGACTGCGCTCTGGCACCACGAGATGCAGAGCCAACCTTAAGAAATGGGGCTACAAAGTGGAATCCACGACATGCAAGTGTGGAGAAGGGGAAACCACAGACCATCTGTTGCAATGCAAGCTGAGCCCTGCTACATGCACAATGAAGGACCTTCTTGCGGCAACACCAGAGGCACTCCAACTGGCCAGATACTGGTCAAAGAACATTTAATCAACTACCAAGCTTGCAAACTTTGTGTTTTGTTTGTTAAAAAATGCAGTACAACTGTTTGGTCTGCTCCTGACACGATAAATAAATAAATAGTTCAAAGCAGATACTGTATTGTGGGATTTTCTGCCTTGATATTCTGGGATATAGGTCTGTGTGGAAGGGCCCCCAGAATATCAAGGCAGATATAGGTCTGTGTGGAAGGGCCCTCAGACAACTCAGTTCAAAGCAGATACTGTATTGTGGGATTTTCTGCCTTGAAATCTTGGGATAAAGGACTGTGTGGAAAGGTACTTAGTCCACACTGCCATATATTCCAGTCCAAAGCAGATAATGGGATATAGGGCTGTGTGGAAGGGCCTCCAGGCTATCAAGGCAGATATAAGTCTGTGTGGAAGGGCCCTCAGATGACTCAGTTCAAAGCAGATACTGTATTGTGGGATTTTCCACCTTGATATTCTGGGATATAGGGCTGTGTGGAAGGGTACTTAGTCCACACTGCCATATATTCCAGTCCAAAGCAGATAATGGGATATAGGGCTGTGTGGAAAGGCCCCCAGACTATCAAGGCAGATATAGGTCTGTGTGGAAGGGCCCTCAGATGACTCAGTTCAAAGCAGATACTGTATTGTGGGATTTTCTGCCTTGATATTCTGGGATATAGGGCTGTGTGGAAGGGTACTTAGTCCACACTGCCATATATTCCAGTCCAAAGCAGATAATGGGATATAGGGCTGTGTGGAAGGGCCCCCAGGCTATCAAGGCAGATAGAGGGCTGTGTGGAAGGGCCCTCAGATAACTCAGTTCAAAGCAGATACTGTATTGTGGGATTTTCTGCCTTGATATTTTGGGATATAGGGCTGTGTGGAGGGGTACTTAGTCCACACTGCCATACATTCCAGTCCAAAGCAGATAATGGGATACAGGGCTGTGTGGAAGGGCCCTCAGATAACTCAGTTCAAAGCAGATACTATATTGTGGGATTTTCTGCCTTGATATTTTGGGATATAGGGCTGTGTGGAAGGGTACTTGGTCCACACTGCCATATATTCCAGTCCAAAGCAGATGTGGGATTTGATTCACCTGTGTGGAAGGGTCCAGTGTGAATGGGATGTTTGCAACTGCCTATGCATGTGCATTGCCTGAAACTGATGTGTGGCCCTGTTGAAGCAAAGGAGTGTGGTTATACCAGGCATGGGCAAACTTGGGCCCTCCAGGTGTTTTGGACTACAACTCCCACAATTCCTAACAGCCTCAGGCCCCTTCCTTTCCCCCTCAGAAAGGGGCCGGAGGCGGTGAGGAATGGTGGGAGTTGAAGTCCAAAACGCCTGGAGGGCCCAAGTTTGCCCATGCCTGGTTCTACCTTGAAGGCACTGTGGCTTGGGTCTAGGCCCACATCCGGGGTCTTTCTCTACTTCCTCCCCACACACAGATACAAAGACCCTCTTCCCTCAGATCTCCCTGAGAAGGGACACACCCGAAAGGAAGGAAGGAAGGGCGAGGGGCGTTGTTTGTGTGTGTAGCCACAGCCTGGTCCCTTCGTGTCCCCTCCTGGCTCGGGCCTTGCTTGAGGGAGCATCCCCCCATTGCGGCCTTGTTGCCGGGATGGGGCCCTCCCTCTCTGAGGGATGCCAAGCAGGCGCTGCACCTGTCCTCTCTCTCCCTTCCCTTCCTTGACTCACCAGACGGAGCCGTAGGCGCCGGAGCCCACCGGGGTGAGCTGCTGGTAGCGCAGGGGCACTTCCCACACCGTCTTGTTGAGCTCTTGCTTGTAGAAGCCGCCTCGCTCGGACATTTTCCGGGCCCGGAGCCCGAGGGGAAGGGAAGCCGCTCCGAGAGGGGAACCCGCACAGCTGGAAATGTAAGCGCGAGCCCGGCGGAGGAGGAGGAGGAGGGGGAGGGGGAGGGGCCAGGGGAGGGGCCAGGGAGGAGAAAGGAGAGGGAGGATGAACTGGGAAAAGGAGAGGCTTCCTCTTTGGAGTTTCCTTCCCTATTGCCAAGCCTGGCTCAGCACTGCAAGACTGGTTTCAAGGCCGCGCCTCAGTCAGGGATTCATTCATTCATTCAGGGCGGCTTCTCCCTCTCATTCTCTCTCTTCAGCACCTCAGGGTTGTTTTGGACTACAGCTCCCAGCAGCCCCCTCGCAGAGCAAACAAACAAGGGCTGGTTGGGAACTGTAGGCCAGAGGCACCTGGGCAAACCCACCAGCGGGAGGATGGATGCCAGGGGAACAAGTGCCACACTTTTGTGAAATCCCCTTCGACACCCAAAGATCTGGTCGCAGGTTTAATGCTTATTCCAGATGATATGGCTGTGGAGACTGAGCTCCTTTCCACACAGCCCTATATCCCAGAATATCAAGGCAAAAAACATTAGAATCATAGAATCAAAGAGTTGGAAGAGACCTCATGGGCCATCCAGTCCAACCCCCTGCCAAGAAGCAGGAATGTTGCATTCAAATCACCCCTGACAGATGGCCATCCAGCCTCTGTTTAAAAGCTTCCAAAGAAGGAGCCTCCACCACACTCCGGGGCACAGAGTTCCACTGCTGAACGGCTCTCACAGTCAGGAAGTTCTTCCTCGTGTTCAGATGGAATCTCCTCTCTTGTAGTTTGAAGCCATTATTCCGCGTCCTAGTCTCCAAGGAAGCAGAAAGCTTGCTCCCTCCTCCCTGTGGTTTCCTCTCACATATTTATACATGGCTATCATATCTCCTCTCAGCCTTCTCTTCTTCAGGCTAAACATGCCCAGCTCCTTAAGCCGCTCCTCATAGGGCTTGTTCTCCAGACCCTTGATCTTTTTAGTTGCCCTCCTCTGGACACATTCCAGCTTGTCAATATCTCTCTTGAATTGTGGTGCCCAGAATTGGACACAATATTCCAGGTGTGGTCTAACCAAAGGAATAGAGGGGTAGCATTACTTCCCTAGATCTAGACACTATGTTCCTATTGATGCAGGCCAAAATCCCATTGGCTTTTTTTAGCTGAGTGTAAAGACTTTCTGTATATATTTCAGAGTACAATATTAATGTATGATTTTACATAGGACTAGCCGTCCCCTGCCACGCGTTGCTGTGGCCCATATGGGGGCTCTGTGTGGGAGGTTTGGCCCAATTCTACCGTTGGTGGGGTTCAGAATGCTCAGTGATTGTAGGTGAACTATAAATCCCAGCAGCTACAACTCCCAAATGTCTAGGTCTATTTCCCCCAAACTCCACCAGAGTTCACATTTGGGCATATTGAGTATTCTGGTAGAGTTTGGTCCAGATCCATAGTTGTTTGAGTCCACAGTGATCTCTGGATATAGGTGAACTACAACTCCAAAAGCAAAGGGCACTGCCCACCAAACCCTTCCAGTATTTTCTGTTGGTCATGGGAGAACTGTGTGCCAAGTTTAGTTCAATTCCGTCGTTGGGGTTCAGAATGTTCTTTGATTGTAGGTGAACTATAAATCCCAACAACTACAACTCCCAAATGATAAAATCAGTTTTTTTGAGTGAAGGACATACATTGGGTTGTTAGGTGTCTTGTGTCCAAATTTGGTGTCAATTCGTCCAGTGGTTTTTGAGTTCTGTTAATCCCACAAACAAACATTACATTTTTATTTATATAGATTTGCGCTACATTAGAACAGAAAAGACGAAATATCACTTAAGTATAATAAACATTAAATATTAAATAACCAGAAAAATAAAATAAGGTGTAAATACTAAACTAATCTGGTAACCTGCTATTGCAATATCAAGGCAGGATAACCCACAATATCTGCTTTGAAGTGGAATATATGGCAGTGTGGACTAAGCGCCCTTCCTTACAGCCCTATATCCCAGAATATCAAGGCAGAAAATCCCACATTATCTGAGTGTGGACTTAAATAACCCCATTCAAAGCAGGTCTTGTGGGATTTTCTGCCTTGATATTCTAGGATATAAGGCTGTGTGGAAGGGCCATGGGTTATGTGAGGGCCATTCCAGACATGTCCTGTATCCCAGGATCTGATCCCAGGTTTACGGTTTATCCCAGATTATTATATTATTATTATTATTAACTTTATTTGTACCCCGCTAGCATCTCCCGAAGGACTTGATGCGGCTTACAAAGGCCTCAAAACACAACATAACAATACACAACCTAAGCAAATTAAAAACAGTGGGAGTGCGGTCTCATATAATCCAGTTTAAAGTAGAAAACCTGGGATCAGATCCTGGAATATAGGGCCTGGCAGGAAGGACCTCGAGTCCACACTTAAAATAAGTTAAAATAAGATAGTGTGGGATTTTATTCAGCTGTGTGGAAGGGGCCATAGGCCCCTTCTACACTGCCATATAAAATCCAGAGTATTTTCTGTTTTCTGTTTATCCCAGATTATCTGGCAGTGTGGACTCATATAATCCAATTTAAAGCGAAAACCTGCAACCATATCCTGGAATATAGGCCTGTTTAGAAGGGCCCTTTATACCTTTGGCATACTTGTAAATTTATAAAATATGACAGAAGCAAAACAATGTGCTGTGAGAGCTGATGCATGCACAACTTTTGGGGTAAGTGTAAAACGCAAGTAGGTTAAAAGCCTGTACTAAGCACTTCCCAATCCTTGATGGAGTACACTGCAGTTATTTCTAAGAAATGAAAGTGAATATCCCAGTCACTTCAATTTTAGGGGCAATTTCCAGTGTTAGGTGGCGAAACACTATGAGTAATTTTCTTGTCTGATTTTTCAAGGGATTTGGGAATGTCTGTCAGTATTTGAATGGTTGTCAGTCATAGCATAGCGCAGAACCAGGCATGTAGCCGGGGGGGGGGGGGGGCTTGAGGGGCTTCAGCCCCCCCCCCCCAATTCTCATGGTGGTCCGCGAGAAGGCCTTACTGGTACATTATTTAAACTGTTATGTTTATTCATATCATGATCTGATCACCATGCTCAATATATCCCATATGCATGCATGGGGCTATTGGGGTAAACCCTCTTTCACTCCCCCCCCCCCCCCCCCCCCCGAATCAAACTCAGCCCCTCCCAAATCAAAATCCTGGCTACGGGCCTGCACAGAACCATTAATAAAAGTATACATATCCTGTAACTCACATTCCAAGTTTTGGCACAGAAGAAACCTGCTTAACCTTATGCAACAGTGAGCTCTGAGCAGTAGCCCAAGCCTTAATCTGGATTTCTTTCTACTGGCTGCTCAAAAGTATCAGAATTGCTGTGGAACTCTCTCCCGATGGAGATCAGATCTGCCCCTTCCCTCCTGACCTTCAGAAAGCTAGTGAAATCCTGGCTCTGGGACAAAGCATTCCCAGAATAATTTGGTTGAGTCCAGCAATAACCTAATAGTTATCGACCACATTTGCAGACTGAGTTGAACTTGATTCTATCTTGGTGATTTGGCTTATATGTATTTATTTTGTCTGTATTTTAACTTAATATGATTTTATGATGTTTTTAGATGTATTTATGCATTGAATTTCTGCTGTTAGACGGTCTGAGTCCCTCCATGGAGGCAGAGAAGATCGGGATATAAAATTTTAAATAAAAAAAATATATAAAATAAATAAATATTGTGGGCTCTCTACCTTTCTGTATTGGCTAGCATATCTGTTTATACAGTTTCATCTAGAGGGGGTTAAAAAGCTTGCACTCCAAATGAGTATGAATACCCCCTGAGCACATTTTAAAATTAATTTTGCTGGTATTTTCCACTGACTAGTTTTATAGCACTTAAGCAACATTTGGGACAAATGAGCTCAATACTGTTTACCTTAAGACAGGCAATTCTGGAAAACCTCAATAGTTCAGTATTCATATTGAAGGGGAAAAATGGGATTTCCTGAAACATAAGACCATGGGATACTATTAAGCTCCCCTTGCATTGTGCTAGAATGTGTTCGATGATTTCTAGAAGATACTCTCAGTACTGGAAACACAGTAATGAGACCCTATAGATCTGACCAGCTCCCCACATGAATTGACTGTGCCCCATATAATATTTCCAAGAATTATTTTGCAGTGTCTTCAGTTTCTGTCATAGATAATCCAACATGGAAATTACTTCCTGAATGTGTGCAATGTGAAAGCTGCTAGAATAAGAAATATGCATATATAAAGGAGACATATATCTTTATTGTGATCTTTATCCTAAGAGGCTAATATTTATTCCATACGTTGCCAGGGGAAAATTTGCTGTCGTCCAAAGACTCTGACAAAAATAGCTTGGATTTTAAGATAACTTAACTTAAGGAAATTTATCACCCACCAGTAACTCCTACAACCATCCAAATGTCACTCTATGAGTTCAGAGAGCCCTTCTGAATGATGCCAGATAAAGTACTGGGGGAAAGATATCCAAAATTAGAATGACCCCCACAGTTATGATCCATCTCTTAAAGTCAACGTCTCACCACAAAACTCTGGAAAGAACACAGGGCACTGGCTGGGGGAGGAGGGATACCTTACTTTAGAAGTCAAGCCTACAGCGTATGTTTTCCTAAGTGATGTTAACTGAAGGCACTGCAGCAGATATAATTTTGCATGAGGCAGGATGCATATGTCCTATTATTCAAGTCCAACAGTATACTGTTATTTCCACTCTACGAGATGAATTGTGAAATAAGACTTTAGATTGTAAGAAAATATGAAGGCCAGAATTCTATAAGTCTGAATTACAGTATATACGGTATATCAAATCAATTGTTCAATGCGTGTGGATCTGCTTGAGGATTCAGATCTCGGTGTCCTATTGTAGTGGTTAAGCTAGGACCACGGATAAGAGGATCCATTCCCGGCAAGCATATGCTAAACCAAATGGGCCAGGACAGAAGATCAGATCACTAGGTTGAAGACAAGCCACAGAGGGATGCAAGTAGAAGCAAGATGCGGATGAAAGAAAGACATCTTATACAGTTTAACATCTATTCAG